TTAACCCTAAATTTTGAAATAATGTTGCAACCTTGGTTGGAACTGTGTGGCCACTGAAAATATTAGTTTTGACAACAAAAAAAAAAGTTTTGACAACATTTAATTTCAGGTTCGAAAACTAGATGTAGCTGACGGTCCGATTTTTAAAGCTGTCAATGGCTGTAAGTGTGACGGCCCTGGTAAACGCCACTTTGTAAATGAAATGTGATTGACAGTACAAATGAATGAATGATAATAATACTATAAACTCCTTGCGTAAGTCATAGACTTTAAAGTTGAGTTGCAGATTAAAATTACAAATTCTACCATTTTTGACAGGCAAGCCGCTACTAGTGTTACCTAGCGGACAAATATTGAAAATTATTGATTTGGCATACCTACATAAAACCTCAGATACTGAAAGAATTTTATGAATTTCTGGCAAAAAATGGCATCTTGAAATTATAAACGAAATTGGATTTGACAAATGTCTATCATATTTTCGTAAATATTGTTTAGAAAGGTTTATTTTATAATTATTTATTTTTGTAAATATGATTTTTATCAACATTCATTGTTAAACCCGTACAATTAATAAATTACATATCGTTAAAGTTATCTCAAAAGGACAAAGGATATATATTACTACTCAAAAATGTCGGATATGATAATAAATGGTAATAATGCTGACCTACAAAGTTATATCCAAAATTATTGCTTAAAAATTAAGATCTTAAATTAGTTTTCTGTCGCAGCGTAATTATTATTGACAGGTTTGAGGATAGATTGAATAAGTACTTGCAATTTGTTTCTATTTTTTTCTAATAAATTACCCTTACTCTTTTTTAGACTCGGTCCCAGTCGACAAAAAATGGAATGAATTAATAAGATATAATATTTTCATTATGAAACTCGTTGAATTCGTAAGTATATTACTCAATTAATTAATATTTTACAATTTATTTTATTATTTCCTTGATACTCGTTACACTTTTATTCCTTGTAGGTGATTTCACTTGTAATTACTTTATTACCATTAGTAATGCCAAAACCACATGGGCATATGTACTGCATAGCAACTGGTCCTACATTAGTAATATCTCTATTATTTGTAATCTTATATTTACGAAGAAAAGTGCCATTATTTATGGAAAAAATGTATTTGTTTTTTCAAATTTTGTTTACCTTTGGTGCTTTCATTCAATGTTTTTTATTAAATCTAATTAGAGTTTGGCTATGGTTAATTTATGGAGTATTTTATTTTGCATTATTGTGTGCATTAACACTTGATTTGTTTCTGATTGCTAATGAAAGAGGATGTACTTTTAGTTGCGCATAATAATAATTTATAAAGTTATCAGTTTTACGTGTACCAGGCATAAATATCATTTTAATATAATATTGAATGAATGAATATATGTCTTTTGATTAAACCTAATATTAGTAAAAAAAACATTTTATTTTCTGTCATATCAATTAGAATAATATTTATACAGCTACAATACTAGAACCTTGACCTGCACGCGACTGCCCTTTGGTGAATATTTCATCTGAATATTTATATTCACACGAATTAGACAACACTAAATTAAAAATAAAGTACAATTGTCACAATCACAAACACACACACTGATGTCACTCTGCGTCATCTGTCATAATCATAACACTAACGTAATGTGACTTTGACAAAATAATAATAACAACACAACACTGTGTACTGTTAGTGAATTAGATAGTAGTTAACTGCAAATATTAATAAATACTGTATGAATAACGTAAAGATCACTAATGTTTTTAATTGCACTTCAAAATAAACATAGTGACATGATCTATGTTTCGCCTTCGTCGCAAACGAATAATCAGGGCCTCAGTTGTTTTGTTTTGTATAAGATACGACAACAGCGTAAAAATGCACTACAAAAATTACATATATATTATGATTAAAATCTGAAATTAAGGATCGCTAAACAATTTCGCTTCAATAAATAGGTAAGTCACAAAAAATGAAGGCAAAGAGTGTCATGAAAATTGTTACTTTTAGGTTATATCAATGGTCCTCATGATTATCCCGTTTGTTTTGACGGAGCCTGTCATCTTTCACTGCCTGGCCGTTGCTCCGACCCTCGTCTTGGCGATTGTGTTCGCCGTGCTATACTTAGTGGACCAAGTGCATGATCTGGCCGAACAACTATACTTAATATTACAAATATTTTTCAATTTACTAGCATTTGTGTTTGTAGTGCTAAACACTAGCCCCAGCGGCACACTATACGGCCTATTCTATTGTCACCTACTCATTGCACTGAGCATAGATCTGTTCTTGGTCGTAAAAGAGAGAGGATTTGCATTATTCGGAAGTGATTGAATGTTAAAAGTTGAATAAAATGCTTTAGCAAGCATGTCAATTCGTATTATTGAGTAGTTTTGAGCTTTAAAATGACACCTCTCTAAAAGTAACAGGTTAATACAATATGACTAGAACTTTAAGAACTCAAAAGTAGAAATGCAATAATACCCATTTTGTGATATTTATGTTATTAGATTATTTATCTAAAGAAGTTTACAAGTGGGTCCGTCTCTTACTTTTAGGTAGTGGCACTGCTCCTCAATATACTGCCTCACGTTGTGGAGCCTCTGGACCTGTTACATTGCTTGGTGGCGGGGCCCACTGTCATTTGTTCCACACTCTTAATGGTGCTCTATATTGTGGACCAAGTACAATATGAGGCAGAGTTTTATTACGTCGTCATTGAGCTATTTTTAACCATATTGGCACTTATTAATCTATTTATTATTGGTAAACTGATAGGAGCCTTATATGGATTGTTTTATGCAGATTTAATAATAGCATTCTCTTTGGATTTATTCTACATGCGTCAAGAGAGAGGCTTCACTTTTTGATTGTAAATTAAAATTTTTGTTATCTGTACTATTGTATTATTTTAACATTATGAATAGGACTACAAGTACTGATAATGTTGGCCAGCTATATCCTGTATGTGTGGGTGTATGACAAATTATGATAAAGAGGGGTAACCAATGTGCCATAATCAAATAATGTGGAAAAGAGTAAAACACTGTACATGGACTATTGTTTCTTATACTATACAAATGTTAGCCATTTTATTGAACAAAATTATGAGAGTGCGGTTGCGGGTGCTATTGTGGGTTGTGTGTATTTTTACAGTGTCCCTTGTTACACTTTGGATGTTCAGTGATGTGAGAACTATAAGTGAAATTAAAATAGATTCCAGGTATCCTGTAATAGTCTGGTGGAACATGGACTTTCATGGCACATCAAGTATTAAATATTGCTCCAATGGTGTAAAATGCAACATTTATGGCAAAAATGACGAGGCTATGCAGCTATATTACAATGTAGGAGCATACTTATTCTACGCAAGCACAATAGATTTTAAGAGTCTTCCTTTACCAAGACAGCCTAAAGATATAATCTGGGGTTTATTTCATGAGGAATCCCCAAGAAATGTGGAGGAATTGTTACATGAAAAGGCGTTAAGTTTATTTAATTTTTCCGCTACATTTAGTAGATTCAGTGACATTCCTTATCCATTGCAACATATAGACTCATTTGAAGATATAAGAAGCAAGAAGTACTTTATAGAGACAAGCAAGAAAACTGAATTATTAAATGAAATTGCCCCAATTATGTACTTACAAAGTGATTGTGAAACATCTACAGAGAGAGATGCATATGTTAAAGAACTAATGAAGTTTATAAAAGTAGATTCTTACGGCAGCTGTTTAAATAATAAAGAAATGCCACCGAAATTCAAGGATGACTACTTGAATAATTTGAATGAAGATGAATTCTTGGCGTTTATTGCGAGGTACAAATTTGTGATAGCGATAGAGAATGGTGTTTGTAACGATTACGTAACTGAAAAATTTTGGCGTGCCATCAAAGTAGGTTCCGTCCCCATATATTTCGGTTCCCCAACTATCAAAGATTGGTTACCAAATAAAAAGTCTGCGATATTATTAGAAGACTACCCTACACCAAAGAAATTGTTCGAACACATTCAGGTGTTGATGCATAATGATAGGTTGTACGAAGAATATTTAGAACATAAAACGAAACAGTTAATTACAAATCAGAGATTATTGGATGAGCATAGCTATAGACCTTATCAGTACGATGGTGTGAAAATTATCGATAAATTCGAATGTTTTATTTGTGAGAGATTGCATGATAAAATTAATGGTCAGATAGGAGTACATATTGTGAATAAGAGTCACTACGATTGTCCTAAGCCACTGTCAGCTTTGACTTTAGATGTAAATCCTGATAATACTTGGGTGTACTCTTGGGAATATGCCAAAAGTAGTGCCGATAGTATATATGACAAAGTTATTAATGGAGATTGATATTTTTGTATTGTTTTATTACGTAAATATACATTTTGATGTAAATTGTTTTGTTTATTATTGGCAAACACCGTCTAGAGGTGAGACTGGAAGGATGTCGTAGCGGATACCCCTCTTGATGACATGAGGAATTGTTTTGGGGACCATCCTGCAAAACAAAAAAGGACTAAAATTAAAACCTTAGTCTTCCTTATCAGTTATAACTTGCGTAATGAACGTAACTTCCTTCAAAACTTTGCAAACAAACGATTTAAAATCGCAACACTTAGGTCTTAAGATCTCTTTTACTACAATATAAATAAAGTACTCACGATATACAATCGATGATAGGACACACGGACAGACAGAGAGTGCAACCAGTGCAGTCGTCTGTTACATGCGGTATGTGGGTCTCGGGATCGAACCTGGAAATAAATAAAAAATATTTAGGTAAATACACTACAAGATAGCATTTTTCCACGTTCCTATTTTAAATTAGATGGACTTTTCAGTTGGCAGTTCCTATCTGATTACTCTGAGAAGAAATACAGAAACCAGGAGATCACAGCTCTTCTAAGAAATACTTCCTAGATAATTGATTCATGATTATTTCGTTGCTCGATTAGTACCTACTAAAGCGATTGTTAAAGGGTGTTGGGTTCTGAATGACCACAATCTATTGTTGGGTTTTTCGAAAATTATTAACGTGATTATCCTCTTATCGTCAAAGGAAATAACTATTGATAAACTACTGCCTATGATGTAATCACTATTATCCCTAAAATAACAAAATTAATAAAGATTCCTTCCTTTATGACTGCCTCGATTGTTGTGTAGTTACGTATACAACTGTCGATCACACCATCAAGAGAAACAAGTGAATTTATTATTGATATACTATAAGGCAGCACTTTTATACGTCAATCTTATCAAGCGAACGATGAAGCTGACATTTCCTAACTTAAGTAGTACTCTGAGAAGAAATGCTGAAACAAACTCAGATACCTATCCGTCTCTTTTAAAGTCCACACAAATAGCAACATCAACAGCATAGGTATAAGTAGCTACTGCTGACCAAAGGCTTCTTCTCGCACGGCGCAGGTTTGAGCATGAATCACTACGCATGTGGGTTGGCGATTTCAAACTTATAATTAGAAATGATAAATCCAGGTTTCCTCACGATGTTTTCTTTCACCATTTGCCAGTGGTGTTTAGAGGATCTTAGAAAGTACATAGAACTTGGAAAAAGTCACATTGGTACTTGCCGTCGGCCCGTGTAGTAGGGTTTGATCCCGCACTCTCATGCATGAGAAACGGGCTTCTTAACTCTTTCTGTCACTGTAGGTAACCGACTTATCTTTGAAATTCAATGTTTGAAGTACCTATGCTTCAAATATTTTGCTTTGTTTTTAAGAATTTCAGTATAATTAAATGAAATATACTCGTTACCAGATAAGTGGGACTGAAAAAGTTAAGGTGAGCAAGACAACTGTAGATCAAAGATCTCGTTTTCGATATAACAGCCCTGTATAGGTGGTCAGATGCATCGTTAAAATACGAGTAGTTCCAATCTAACCACATACATACTACTCTACAGAAATCGACTCCTGTATTTTATGTAGTGTTATTGGGTTTAATTAACACTGACCTAACCTGGAATTGTAACTGGTCTATTGCACTATTATGTCAGGAACCATTGGACCGATTTGAAAAACTGTTTTTGTGCTAGATAGTAAATTTATCGAGGACGGCTATAGGCTATAAAACAGCACGCTAAGATTAATAGGAGCCGAGCAGAGCGGGTGCAACCGCGCCGAAGTGGCTAGTAAGAAATAATTTGAATAAGTAGGTACTCACTCAATCGCTTGGTATCCGGAGTCAGCGCAAGCCATGTAGCATTTACCGCAGTTTATGCACATGTCCTGAAACAAATATACAACATAGATACATTTAAAAAAAAAGTCAAAATCTATCATTTCAATTAGACTAGAAAGGCACTTATGAATGTCAACAATAAAATTAAAAGTGAAGCTATTTGCTCATTCCAAGGTGTAGATTCCTATGGAGAAGAACGAGCAAGAAACTCCATAGGTTACTCTTTTTCAATCAAGTTCACAATACAATTCTCTAGTTACATAGTTTTGTTGTTTGAATTGTGCGAGAACAATGTAATATTTACTAATTTTTTTTACACACATACATACAGAGGTAAAATAAACATAACATCACGCCTTTTATCCCTGAAGGGATAGACAGATGTGCACATTACGACACTTAATGCCACTGTACAATGTACTTTTCACTATTTATGTTATGCGTTTACATTGAAAATCCTCTGCCCATCCCTTGATCCCTATCAAAGACATTGACTGCACGGTTAGTCCAGGCTGGGGAACCGGCTGTCGTGTAATGTGTCGCGGGTTCGATTCCCGCACGGAACAACACTTTGTGTGATCCACAAATTATTGTTTCGGGTTTGGGTGTCATGTGTTTGTGAACTTGTTGAACTTGAACTATGTTTGTAAACGCACCCATGACACAGGAGAAAATTCTAGTGTAGACAACATTAAAAAAAAAAGGTTGAAGACGCAAGCGCCTCCCATCTTTGGTATACCGTTTTCGTCCGTAAGCCATAGTACTTAAGGTTTATTTTAAATTGATTTATTCTCAGTATCCTCGCCGCACCCCCGCCAGTCTGCGTTAGACCTTAAGGTGAAATATATACAGTAGATAACTAAAGGAATTAAATACTACTTACATCATCAATGAGTGCGACGACTTGCTTAGTATTGTCCAAATGCTTGTATGTCCCTACTCTGGGCAATGCTTCACCCAGTACGTCCTTTATCCTAGGGACATTACCACCCTCTTCCTCATGACCGTTAGCTACACCATTTGCCACGTAACTTTGAACCTTATTGTCACCCAATAAGTCTGCTTTTAGTCTAGCTTCGTGGAGCAATTCTTCGCGCTTTTTGCTGTATGGCCCGAAGTGGGCTAAGACCTGTAAATTTAAGACATTCAATAATATAATGTGGTCTATTTTTATGGTCATAAGATTAAATTTAAGTTTTATTTTCATAAGTAAATGAATAATGAACTTTACATTCTTACAAACAAGATTCAAATTACCTTACTGATTTAATAGTAGAGAATTTTATAGTCATATGATTTAATTCAACTTTTAGGTATATTCCTATGTAACTAAAAGAAACTCTATATTTTTACAAAATAAGGTTCAAATTACCTTGCCGTTTTCATCGTACAATGTTTGGACGGGCTTGCCTTTCTGGTGTTTGAAGGTGGGCGGTGACTGACCCATCCATCCGTCCAGGCCTTTAGACCTCAAGTAAAGCAATGCTTTCAGACCAGTTATGTAGTCTTCTACTACTGTGAAATCTTGATTTTGGATGGCACTGCAAATCTGGAAGTTAAATTAACTGAACTGAGTAACAAGCACGAATTACTATCGCATTTGTAACTTTATAGTATCGAGTGCATTCGCCGTTCTGATTGGCGGCCAATCAAAGCGCCGAATGCGCTCGATACTATTACGTTACGAATCCTTATCCTTACTATAATATTATAAATCGGAAAGTGAGTTTGTTTGTTTGTTCCGCTTTCACGCCGTAAATACTAAACCGATTGCTTTGAATTTTTACAGACGTAAAGTTAGAAGTCCGGATTAAATAATAGTGTACTTTTTATCCCGGAAAAATGTGATATTACCGAGGAAAAACAAAAGTATTGGTATAGTTGGCGCTGTGTGTATTGGTATATGTCACATAGGCTACTTTTTATCCCTTTGTGACGCGAGCGAAGCCGCGGGTAAAAGCTAGTGCGATAATAATTCGTGCTTGGCACTCAGAACATTGAACACAATATTAATCTTAGTGAGTTTGGTAAATGTAACATAGTCTTAACTTCTTAAGTAACCCATCATCTAAATAATGGCTATCATGGCTAAAATATTGTATAGATTAGTTAACTTAGCTATCAAGCGTAGATTATAAGTTAATAATGTCGAAATACTCAACGCTTTTCAATTTTAAGTCGCGCTTAAGTGTAGTTCTGTCTCTACAAATTGTTTTAAAATGACAGAGATGGCACGATATTTAAGTATGACTTATAATTGAGTAGCCTATCAGTAATCAGTACTGTAAAATGGGGTGAATAAGGTTTGAGTGGCGAAAAGGGACATTCTTCATAATATTGATTTACCCCTCTTCTGTCTCTATTCGCCTCTCGATCTCTATTCACCCCAATTTACCGTATTCGGGCATAAGTCTATCCTCATGAGGGTGTCATTATCATTTTTGATAAAACCCTTTATAAATTAAAATAAGGAAAATAAATCTGGAAGTACTGAAAAGTTTGGTGCATTGCCTATTCTAGTTAGTGTTGTTTATCTTGGTTACAGTAAGTATAACTTCTGAGGTTTCGGGTTCGATTCCCAAATTTGCTAAAATTTTATTGGGTTATTTATGGTTAATGGCCTACTTTCTTAAGGCGTATCTTGTTGCGTTTACCTATGTTTTTTATGGGATAGTGAGCAGCAGTTTAGATGGATCTTTTGGTAATAAGTAACTTAAAACGGGGTGAATAGAATTCGAAAGGTGAATAAATATTGAGAAAATGTTCACCCCATTCCTGTAGATTTCACCCCTCGAATTCTAATTACCCCTTTTTACGGTCGTTAACGCCACTCCTAGATATTCGCAATACTATAGGAGTTGCGGTTACCTAGATATCCCTCTGAGGTAAAGAGGAAAGGACATATACCTATCTATATCTAAGTACTAACGTAAATCTAAATATGTAAACTTGTATAACAATGGCTTTACCTGTACAACTGGCGCCCCGCACATGATGAACTGTAGCGCGGAGTCGGCGGAGTCGATCCCTCCGATGCCGAGTATGGGGAACCCGGGCAACTTGTTCCCTATGGCGGACACTGCGCGCAGTCCCATGGGACGGGTCGCGTTACCTGATACACCGCCGTAAGTCGTGTGCTTCTCTACACCTGGTGGAGGGTATGGGGTTTAAAGTAAAGTAAGGAGTAGGTA